TTAAATAAAGATAATTAAAATAAACACGTCACACACGTAAGTCGATTTTAATCGCCGTCTCACTTCCTAAGGATATCCCTCAAGTTGCCTACGAATAATGGTTAAGTGGGGTGTATAAAGCAAGTCCCTCAAATAGAAAAATCATCAAAGTCCCTTATGGTTGCCTTTACGAATCGAGTCCCTTTCGAAAAATGATGATGGTCCCTTATATGTGCTTATTACATCCCACAATGGCCTTCAAAAATCCAATTGTCCCTCACATGTCCCTTAACATCCAAAGTAAGGACTACCTACTCCATTATAGTAGGGATAGTCTTACTAAAGGAAAGAATAAAGAATAAGAAAGACCTTTAAACATTAGGGTAGGCTACTCCTAGATACTTGCTCACTTCAAAACTTTTTCACACTTAAACAAATTTCCAACAAAATTTTCAAACAAGTTTTTTTTCACATCCATACACGGATTATTATTAAACTATTCTGAAATTTTTTGCTATTCACACACTACACTTTCAAAACAATTCAAAAGTGAGCTTAAGTACCTAAGAGCCCATGGATAACCATGGATGAAAAGGGTGCTAACACCTTCCCTTTTCATAACCTACCCCCCGGACCCAAAATATTCTCTAAGGTCTTTCCTGTTCTTTTATAACCTTTCCTTATGGATAAAATAAAAGTCGGTGGCGACTCTTGCTATCCGCAACATTGTTTAAAGTCAGTTCTCCCACCGTGTTACAGTTTGTCATCATCGAAACCTGCATTCACCAATGTCTTGCAGACTTGTGTGATATGTGGCGATTTGCCTCCATATTATGTTGTGCAAAATGGTAGAGACCTGAGGTTTGTAAAAAATGACAGAGTTAGGGTAAGGGTTAGATGTAAATTTGGTTGTGAGTGGGAGGCTTATTGTAGCAAGTTGTCAAATGAAGACACTTGCCAACTCAGGAAAGTAATTGACAAACACAGTTGTAGTAGAGAGTATAATGTGAAGCTGATGAGTACAAAGTGGTTGAGTAAATGAATTCATAATAGCTTGAAAAACAATCTAAGGAGGATATCAATGAGAAAACACAAAAAAAGTGGAATGTTGGGGTCAACAAAACCAAAGCTATAAGAGCAAGATTTGTAGCTAGAGACTATGTTGATGGTTCTTTTTTGGGAGATTACACAAGGGTCTATGAATATTGTCATGAACTGTTAAGAGCCAATCCAGGGTCAACAGTTAAGCTCAATATTGAGCTTGTATAAGAAGGTGTTGAGGATGAAAGACCATATTTTAGAAGGCTTTACATATGATATGTTGCGTGTAAGGAAATCTTTAAGTTGCGCAGGCATGTAATAGGTCTAGATGAGTGTTTTCTTAAGGGGTTGTGTGGAAGGTATATTCTAGCTGCCATTGGGAGGGATCCTAATGATCAGATGCTTCCCATATCATATGCAGTTATGGAGAGTGAAAACAAGGATAGTTAAACTTGGTTTTTAGAGCTGTTAATTGATGACCTTGGAGGAAAAGATGAATGCCTGACTTACACCTTCATCTCAGACCAACAAAAGGCAAATTTTTCATTTATTCTTATGGTTTTATGTATTTATGTTATGTTATTCCTGTTAGGCTATATTGTAATGCTACATTGTATGTTATTGCAGGGTCTGCTACCTACTATGGATGAGCAATTGCCAAGAGTGGAACACATGTTTTGTGTTAGGAACCTCTATAACAATTTTAGAAAAAAGTTTCCTGGAAAGATGTTGAAGGACATAATATGGAAGGTTGCCAAGTCAACATACCCATAGGCATGGGAAAGAGAGATAAAGGAAATGACGACCATCAATGAAGAAGCATTTAAACATATGATGAAGACCCCACCAAGGTTTTGGAGTAGATCTTACTTTAGGACTGAAAACAAATGTGATGTTGTTCTCAACAACATGTCTGAGTCCTTTAATAGTGTCATTCTTGAAGCAAGGGAAAAACCTCTAATCACTATGTTAAAAGACATCAGAACATATATGGTGGAGAGATGGACAAATAACAGAATGAGATTTGGTACTTTGGATGAGAATGATATTTTGCCCAATATTAGAAAGAAACTTGATGTCACAAGCACATACACCAACAATTGGCTAGTAAGGTATGTAATATCAGCATACATTAATTCTTTAGGATGTCTATGACATACATGTGACTAATGTATTTTGTTTGTTTAATCATTTAGGATGTCTAATGAACATATATTTGAAGTAAGGCACCTAGAAAATCAAGCTAACAAGTTAGTTGTAAACCTGAAAGATCATATATGTTCATGCAAAAGATGGGAACTCACAGGACTCTCATGTGTTCATGCTCATTCTGCTATGAAGAGTAGGAATTTTAAAATTGATACTTACATTCCAGATTATTGTAGGGTTTCAAGGTACAAGGCATTTTATAAGCATGTGATCTACCCTGTTAATGGAGCAAACTTGTAGGTTAAGACACCATATCCAGATGTGCAACCACCCAAGTTCAAGAAGATGCCTGGTAGACCTAAAAAGAGGAGGAACCTAGAACAAGGTGAAATTGATGGGTCTGCTCACAAATTAAGAAGAATGAGTTTTCTGGTGAAGTGTAGTAAGTGTAAGAAAGCAGGACATAACAAGTCTACATTTAAGGACACAACAACTCAGACTACTCAACAATCAGCCCAACCCTCTCATGCTCTAACTCAGACTGCTCAACAACCAAGCCAACACACTCTTACTCCAACAACTTAGCCTACTCAACAACCAAGCCAACCCTCTCAAAACAAAGCAATACACACTGCTAAGAGAACTTCTACTCAACAATCTAGTCAAGCATCTCAGACTTCTAAGGGAAAGGCTGCTCAGAAGACACATGGACCTGCTAAGGGCAAGACACAAAAGCTTCCTGTAAGGAAGCCAACAAGACCTTTCGTGCCACATGGGCCTACAACTAGGTTGAGTGCTGCCAAGAATGTTGTTGGCCTAGTAACAAGGAGGCCTAGTAACAAGGATAGTAACAAGGTTGTGTTAAATATTTTTTAGTAACATTTAAAATATATAAAAACTTTTAAAATAATATTAGATAATTCTCAAGTTAGTAAAATATTAGGATGATTCTCACATTTATTTTTATCAAATAAAAATTAATGTAATAATATAATATAATAAGATAATGAGACCATTGATTTTTTAATTAAGAATGTCCCTTTATGTAATTTTTTATTTATCAGCTATTGTAACAACTAATTTATCAACTATCAGTCATCAATGATAAACTATCATTCATCAGCCACTAAGACTTTGTTTGGTAAAACTAGCTAATAGTTGATAGTTGGTAGTTGATGACTGACAGTTGGTAGCTGATAGTTTATGGTTGATAACTTATAGTTGATGACTGATAGTTAACAAGTTAATATTGAAGAAGAGAGAAAAAATCACACATAAGATACGTGATATATATATATATATATATATATATATATATATATATATATATATATATATATATATATATATATATATATATATATATATATATATATATATATATATATATATATATATATATATATATATATATATATATATATATATATATATATATATATATATATATATATATATATATATATATATATAAAATAGGTAGTATATTGAAGGATAAGAATAAATTTTTGTTAAAATAGTAATGACATAATTAGAAGAAAAAGCTACAGGATAAAAGCTATAAGCTTAAAACCTACTTTAAATAATTTTTGAGAAGAATGCAAAAGTTAGAAACAAAAGCTATAATTGAAAAGCTAAATGTTATTTACTAAACAAATTTTTTTCATTAATATGCGTTGAAAAACTAAATGTTAAAAGCTAAAAGCTTTTTTTGTCTTATCAAACAGGCTCTGAGTTTAATAGATATGAAATGATATAAAATAGATTAAAGAAAATATTAACTGGTAAATTGTATAGGTAAGAGTTGAGTTGTTAAAATGGACTATCCGACTCTAAATGGGCCTATCCCGACGAGCCTCTGGTTTTTTAAGGCTGGACAAAAAAAATACCTTTTTATAATATAGACTCAAAAATTACTACCTGAATTCGGTCCTAGATGAGCTTCAAGCTACCTTGTCCTAAAAGTATTTTTTTAATAAATAATTAAAATAAAAATTTCATGATATTTATTATAAATGAAATTAAAAAATATATTATTTTAAACATAATACATTTTTAAATATTATATAATCTTTTATAAATACTATATTGTGTTTTTAAATGCAACACATGTCTAAATTGTATAAAGTAATACTCGAATATTTAACAGAAGAGAAACTAATATAATACATGGAAATAATTTTGAATATTTTAATGTATAAATATAAAAGAGAAAATCGAATAGAAAATAGATAAAATTTATTGAGGTGAGAAAAACCAATGTGTTATTTTGGAGTAAGACAATATACGTATTAATATATTTTTTTTTGAAAAAATTATAGTTATGCGGGTCTAATGGGCTACCCATGATCCATACAAGATGTTCTAATAGATAGCGGCCTTTTTAGGATTGGGCTAAAAAAGCCCTGAAAAATATGAGCTCAAATTTTAAGGGTCAGGCCCTATGATTTTTCAGGCCTGGCTGTCCGGTCTATATGGGAACCCATTTTGACAACTCTAGCTAAGAGTTTTTTTTACCAATAAAGTCTTTGATTAATCCAAAACAAACTATACAAAGGCATCGCTCGGATTCAGCCTAAAAGATCAAAATGGACCAAAAAAACCCAAAACAAACCACTAAGCTAGTTACATATTAATCTAGCTAGGTGCGTCCTTAACTTTCTATTGTTCCAACCTCTACACACTGTCATATCAATGATTCTATCTTCAATTTTCTTATTATATATGTCATTCGCAAAACTAATATCATTTATATACCGCTATATTTCATAAATGCTATCAGTAGTCGCCAACTTCAGAAAAGTGGCTCGATTCCCATTTTCTTTGTGATGCTAGATAATCCACTTAATCTTTTGACTCCACCTGAAAAGATGGTTTCGAATCTGAATCCAATCTAAAACCCTCTCCCATATTACCTTCATTTCTTTGCACTCAAACAAAAGAAGTTTTTGAGTTTCATCCTCATTACAAAAATAACACTTGGTTGTATCAATCAAACAAAACTTATGCAATCTAGTTCTTGTTGCAAGCCTCTCACGGCAAGCTAGCCACATGTTGACAATGGCCTTAGGGCGAGCCACATTACCATAAAACAAGGTCCTCCATTCTAGTTTTTGGGTACTCCTATGCAAGGCCATATATATCTTTCTCATATTAAACTTTCGACTATTCTTCATCTTATTCCAAGCTTGAAATTATTAAGCAATTTCCCGCTGTTTCAAACTGCTTTCATTATCCAAGAAGAATTTTCCTGCATTGTTGCCTCCATAATCTACTCATTTTAAGGTAGTAGGCATTAACCCATTTCACCTAGAGACTGTCTGATTTTCAACTTAAGTTCCACGAGAACTTTACCAAGTTAGTTTTATTCCACACCACAAGATCGATCAAGTTTAGGCCACCTTGACTTTTCGGATTGCAGACTATTTTCCATACAATTGGGGCTTTTTTACTCTTATCAGTACCACTAGTCAATAAGAAGGTTCTGTAGATCGTATCAATCCTGTGAATCACAGACTTTAGGAACGACAAGCATTGCATTTGTTAGTTCCATGGTTCTATGATATATAATGGTCCATGGTTCTATGATTGGCTAAATTTTGGTAAAACATGATCCTGCACTGATGATTAAGTAGGATGTTATAACACCTCCATCTGTTGTGGTGACAGAACTACTGTGGAGTATTTTAATGTGAATGTCATGTTGAATGTCGTGACATCCAACACGACATCCATCTGCTGTCATGATAGAACTACTGTCATGTGTGAGAAACAGCAAGAGTAGTGGTGTAGCAGGGGCTGATGACTCATGACATCGCTACTGATGCAGAAGGAGCTAGCAGGAGCTGATGACAGAACTGCTGTCATGGATGCAAAAGGAGCTAGCAGAAGCTGATGACATAATTGTTGTCATCAATGTCTAGTAGTTGTTATGTGTTAGCAGTAGCCACAATAGGTTGAGTTGTGATGAAGTTCCTCACAGGTGGTGAGTGAGGTGTGCTGTCATGTGACAACAGAAGGAGCTGCTAGTGTATATCTCTTGACAGAGTTGGTTTGGTTTGGATATACCTCATCAGTAAGTACATGTCAAGGAGGTTGATTAGGAACAAGTACAAAGTGTATTGAGATTCATAAAAGGATCTTGGAGACCTTTTAGGAAACTTTAATATATTTGTTCCTACTGTTAGTCTGCAGAAGATTGGGAGAAGCCATGACTGTCACGAAGAAGATTCTACAGAAGTGTTCAGCAGGGTAAGCTGGAAAGTAAGTTTAAGTGAAGTTGAATGTCATGACCAATGTTATGACATTGATCGTATGACATCAGGTAGTTGACGTGCACAACAGACATGTTAGTTTTCTGGTATAATGCGTGAGATAGCTCAGGCTAGATTTCAGGAGGCTTATTAGGGTTCCTAGATATCTCAAGAGAGATTCTAGGCAGTGCTGACCATATCATGAAAATCCATGACCTAATTTGACAGCACTTTGAATTGTGGAAATTAGTTTTACTAATGTTTGTTACTTGTGAGCAGCCTAAGCCCAGTCTACATTGCTATAAAAGGAGGAGCAGAAGCAGAAGAAATTAAGCACTCACATCAAAAACAACTTGAGTGTAAAATAAAGGTCTAGGGTTTGAGAGTCCCTTGTGTGTAAGTCACCCTTTGTATCTTTTGATACATTGTGGTAGACATATTTGCAAGTGAAGAAGGCTAGTCTTCACGTGTGAATTCTGTTTAGGAATACTTGTACTCCAAGCAATTGTCTGGTGGATGGCTTGCATTGGATAGGTAGATTCTAGGTTGTATCTCACTCAAAGCTGTGAAGCAAGAGTGTGTGTGTGTACCTTGATCAAAGCTGTGAAGCAAGATCAAGGTGTGTTTTGGAGTGAGTCTCCACAACTGTTGTGTAATTGTGTATTGATATCACTGTGGTGTGATTGAGGGGGAGTGAGTAGGTATACTCAGGTCTAGAGTGTCTCTAGGTTGAAATGTCATTGGGTAGAGATTAAGTGAGAAGTGCAATCTGGTTGTTTGACTTTGAATTGATTATGCTAATAGTGAATTTCCTCCTTGGCTTGGTAGCCCCCAGATGTAGGTGATGTTGCACCGAACAGGGTAAAAAATTACTGGTGTTATTTATCTTTATGCATTTACAATTCTGCACAATTTAAATGGTTAGATAAATAGGCCTGTCAGCCTGCAGATGTCACAACAGAGGTCATGACATTGGCATAATTTAAAGAAATTTAAATTGTTCATGATCTGTCCTAGTCCTTGTTTCAGCAGAGATCAATGTTCTTGGGACATCTGAAATCTACATACCAGAATTTCTATTGGTATCAGAGCAGGCATCCTGTCTGTTCTAGATGAGATCTTGAGAGATACTTTCTGGTGATTTGGAACAAGGAGAAGTTGTAGCTGAGTTGCTGATCTTGCTGAATGCTTGAGCTACTGCTTATGGAGCTAAGGAGAAGCTTGTATCTGCTGCTGTGCCCTCTGATATAGGAGCTTTTATGACCTGCTGTATATTCTGCCAAAGGAGGAGTGTCTACTTCTCTCTTATGACCTGTTGAATGATCAGACATCCTATTTAGGGCATGTTCTTTTGGTGGTTCCGCTGCATATTTCTCTGATAAAAGAACTCTGATGCCCTTGGGAGAAGACTGGCTCATATACAGTTTGATGTATGGTTGTGGCAGATTGATGGAAGTTGTGCTTGAGCTGTTGCTTGGGTTGTTCTGTTGTATGGGAGGTGATCTATTTTCACCACTCATGACTTGCAAGGAGTCTATCAGTAGAGGAAGTCATAGAGAGGTTGAGTCAAGGGTGGCAGCCTTGTTATTTCAACATTAAAAATAGTTATACTAAAGAATACTCTTGGTATTGATGAAGTGTAATCATTTGGCTTTCTTGACAAGTTGTATGGATTTAAGATCAATCTCTATTTGTGGAATGCACAAGTATTTAATTGATTATCCATAATGATCAACATTGTCAAAATCCAAGTCTGTCTTCTGGAAGAAGGATCTGCTCTGATGTTCAACCAGATGTTAAGACATTCCATCAACAGAGATTGTGCAAAAGTATGTTGATTCAAAGAGTGAATCACAGGTACCATACGCTTGTGTGGTAGGATCTGACCTTATTCTAGTAAGTTTCCTGGCAAGAAACTAAGACTAGAATGTAGTGTTGGTGGAAGTAAAGATAAAGACATTCGTCTTGGATCAGGTTATGATCTTTAAAGGTTCTTGGCAAGAAACTGGTCTAGAAGATGGTGCTGGTAGCTCTGCTTGGGTCAGTTTATGTCTGATTTAAGTGCATGGGAGCATGAGATCTTGCTCAGATTGGAGGTCAAGGATAAGTGGCAGTTATCTTTGATTTGCTGAAGAAGTCTATACTTAAGGAAAACGGGAATCCTTTTGTAAAGACTTATGTGATCCTTCCTCCCTAAAAGAATCAAGCCTTGGCACACTTGGTTTCTCTAAAGAGGAGTTTTCAGGAGCAAATGCATCTCAAAGGTAGCTATTGCAGAATACAGGCTGTCTACTCAAACTTGGTGTCAGTAATGATGAGGATCTTCTAAATGGCATAATGAAGGACTGAATTCATCAGCAGAATGTCTTATCAGATGTTATGATACCCAGGAGTAACTTCAGGGCCTCAATGGATGTTGTGGTACATCAATTAAAGATAAGTTGACCTGCTCAGGTATGAGTGGAATTGATACTATCTCATGCAGTTTGCAGGAGTTGTGGGAAGAAGGAGGTGTTACAGGTCCAAGTCTTGGTGTATCTAAGCTGCCTTGGAGCTTGTAGGATGTGAAGATCAAGCTTGCTTAGATGTTCTAGAGCTCTGAAAGATGCTGAGTAACCAAACAGTAGCATTTGGTTATGTAAGTAGTGTGCCTCAGAAAACTACTCGTGTGCAGAAGGGTAGTATTTGAAGACCAAAGAACGTGTTTGGTCTGTTCATGCTTGGAACTAATTACTCTTGTGCAGAAGGGTAGTTGGTTGAAGACCAAAGGAGGATCTGGTTCTGTTCATATATTAGAGCTTGTGGTAGAAGCCCTAAGTTGTGTATGGAAGATTACCTTCATTTGGAGAGGTATTTGATCAAGCCGGTGGAGCTGTGCTCTCTAAAGATCCTCAGATTGGATTACTGCTTAGATAGTAAGTCCAGTAAGGCCACATAAAGAACCATGGGATGGTGTGTCTGTAATATGAACCATCTAGGTTGTGAAGATCTGTTATGATTCACATCTTGACTAAGAGGTACTCTAACTTGTCATATGGGAGAATGATAACGTAAAAGGACTATCTTGGAGGATGATGTGAAGGCATTATACAATACTGGAATGGATCATTGGCTGATTGCATCCTAATGTGGCATATGGAAGTGATCAAGTCACTAGGCGACTCAGAAGTGTTCTGACCCATCACACGGGAGAATGATGAGGTAAAAGAATGTTTTGGAGTATGGGAGATCCATCCTAAGCTCTAGAAAGAAGTGGAGCAGGTGGATACCCTCTCACTGTATGAGCTTGAAGGGAGTCTTGAGATATAATGTGGTGATCTTGGAGCTTCTTGTGTCAAAGATAGGGGGAGAGCTTTTGGTTGATAGGTGTACTATTTGCTTATGGTGAATGCGTTCAACTTGTATGTTGAACAGAGAATGAGTTCTTGAAGACATGAAGATGCGTCTTATGTTTTCCATTCATGTGCAATGGTTACCCTTGATATGGGGAGCTATACTTCTATCTAGGATGTGTTGCTGCAAAAGTGCAGTTGTGTACCAAGACTGTTTGTGGTTTCAAACAGTTTGGGATTTTATGAAGATAGAATGTCAAACAAGATGTTATGACATTGGATTACTGCTCCAAGCTCATGGTGAACATGACAAGTGTCTTCCTTTTGGTTCTGTCCTTAGGATGTCCATGGATCCTGTCAAGTTTGTAGGCCTCTATCCAAGTGTGTCTGGTGAAGATAAAGATCAAGACATCATCAGCTCTGATCATGAGCAGATGGAAGGACCGTTACCCTAATATCTTGGAGATCTTACAGATAGTTATCCTGTATCTCTTCTGCTATCTGAATGAAAAGCTGCAGTGTGTGAATATGAAGATGATGAAGAGAGTCTTCATGTAATTGGGTTCACTCTCTTAGGGGGAGTACTGATTA